AATTTTTTTTTTTTAACGTTTTATTTATTTTTTGAGACAGAGAGGGCACAACATGTGAGCAGGGGAGAGAGAGAGGGAGACACAGAATGGGAAGCAGGCTCAGGCTCTGAGCCAGCCCAGAAACCCGGCAGCAGGCTTTCGAACTCGCGGACCACGAGATCATGACCCTGAGCTGAAGTCCGGACGGCAACACGACTGAGCCACCAAGCCCCTAAGTTTAAAAACACGAGAATGGTTTCTTTTAAATTTATTTTCACGTTTATTTATTTTTGAGAGACAAGACAGAGGAAGTGAGCAGGAGGGGCAGAGAGGAGAGGAGAGACACGAGGAATCAGGAAGGAGGTTCCAATCGAGCTGTGGCACATAGAGCCCGGCGTGGGGCCAACCCCGCGGACCGTGAGATCATGACCTGGGCAGTGGGGCGGCTCAATCAGCTGGGCACTCCCAGAGCCCTCAGGCAGGCTTTAAAGACTAGCAAGGGGAGGTTCCATTTAAAATAACCATCAGGGACACCTGTGCCGTGAATCTGAAGACACTGAGATGCCAGATACAGCCGCATAAAAAAGGTTTCTTTTCTCTCGAAAGAAATAGAAAAATATTGTATAAATTTCCATCCCGTGGTCCAACAGGGACCCTGGGACCCTGGACATTATATAGATCACCCGCGGATCTTGGGATCTCAGCCTTCCCAGCTGGTCGCCGGGCCGAGTGCGGTGTGAGGTCTGGCTATGTGCTCCTGAGCCGGGACATCTATGGGAAAGCTTAGTCACTGAAAGCTGCATCATGGAGTTTTTTTTGAATCTGGGCTGTGGGTCTTTTCGATTGGCCTGGGGGTTTGATATCTATTTTTTTTGCATGTTATATTAAAGGCTCATTTTATGCACAACGATTTTTTTAATGTTTCAATGTTTTCTTTATTTTTTTTTCATAATTTAAATCCAAGCTAAGTTAACATAGCATGTGTTGATTTCAGGAATAAATTTAGCGACATAGCGACACTCAGTGCTCGCCCCAGTAAAAGTGTCCTCCTTAAGGCCCATCATCTTCCATTTAGCCCATCCCCCACCTCACCCCTCCAGCAGCCCTCAGTTTGTTCTCTGTGTTAGAGTCTCTTATGGTTTTGCCTCCTCTCTTTTTTTTTATCTTAATTTTCCTTCCCTTCCCCATGTTCGTTGAGTTTGAAAAAAAAAAACAAAACTTAGTTTTCCGCACCCCCCCCGCCACAAATTTCATGAAATGCATTCCCAAAGTTACTAACACTGAACCCACAGAAAAGTTCTTGCAGCAGATGTTCATCAGTCTAAATTTCAGCGTGAAAGAAAGAATTTAGGAAGGAAAATAATTGAAGCGGGAGAAAAAAAGACAAACGTTGCTAAAGCCATCCATGTTTCTGCCAACCGTAAAACTCGCTAAAGGAGGAGGCGGGGGGGGGGGGCGCGACGGGGAGGGGGGACCCTTCTCGTCAAATACCCGAAGGGCTCTCTTAGTAAATGCAATTAACAAATGCCTTCACTGGCTAGAGAATAATGACAACGTTTTCCCTTCCAGGGGAAAAGAGAATGACCCAAAGAGTTGTGTCACGACACATTCATAATGCAAGATGCTATCCTGCTGGGCAGATGCCGTGTCTGGGAAATCTGATGTCCTTTCCAAATCAACACGCCCCCACCACCCCCACCAGGAGGAGGGAAAATGGTTTACTTACTTTACACTGAAATCCAAATGTCTGGGGAAATCTATTTTGCCCGCGAGAATTTTTTGATAAATGCCAAATGGGTTGTCATCAAAAAACGGAGGAAACCTGTAAGAAAAATAAACATCTATTTTTAGCGGAGAGCAAGCACGGAAAAAATCCTGCTTCCTAACGATTTCCACTCAACACACATGCAGGGCACAATTTGTTGCACATGGACTCCTTCCTTGCACGCTGGGGACGCCGGAATCTTGGGACACACGGAGCACGGCTGGTTCCAGGAGGAAAAGAATGCAGCAGAGGAATGGCCAGCGTAGACAAGGCAATGACCATTAGAGCACGCGATCGACTGTGGGGGTCGGTCTCTGGCATTAAAAATGTCACCCCATCACAGGGTGCCTGGGTGGCTCAGTTGGTTGAGCATCTGACTTCGGCTCAGGTCATGAGCTCATGGTTCGTGGGTTCGAGCCCCACGTCGGGCTCTGTGCTGAAAGCTCGGAGCCTGGAGCCTGGTTCAGATTCTGTGTCTCCCTCTCTCTCTGGCCCTCCCCTGCTCACACTCTATCTCTCTGTCTCTCTCTCAAAAATAAACGTAAAAAACCTTCTTTAATTTATAAAAAGAGAAAGCAACATATGTATCTTCTCTAATGTCTTGAAATAGAAAAAAAAATCTGAAACAAGTAAGAAATATAGTTAAAACTGCAAAGAGGAAAAAAAATCCAAGAAAATCCAGAAGTTAATCAAGAAATAAATCCCAGATCCCTACCTACATGCCCCGAGGCACAGGCTGTACTTTGGATATGGGCTCATAGTTCCTTCCCAAGGCTAAGACCCTCAACTCAAAAGTATAACCGTTAATTGGATTCTTTAGAAGTGGAACTTCTAATTAAGTGAAACAACCAGTGGAAATACCTTATAAAATGAACTTGCAAATGGTATCCTGATGGAAGATGGCAACCTTCAATACTCCAAATTAATTTCTGATATTAAAAAAACAACAACAGAGAGGTGCCTGGGTGGCTCAGTTGGTTGAGCGTCCAACTTTGGCTCAAGTCATGATCTCGCTGTCTTCTGTGGGTTCGAGTCTGCCGGGCCCTGTGCTGATTAGCTCAGAGCCCAGCCTGTTTAGCTTCAGGTCTCCTCTCTGCCCCTCCCCTGCTCACGCTCTGTCTCTCTCTGTCTCTCTGTCAAAAATAAACATTTAAAAAAATAAACAAAAAATTGAAAAAAATAAAAACAAATGACAGAAAACAAAACAGAGCACAGTTGTTATTATTTTTTTCAATTTTTTTCACCTTCTTACCCTGCCAATCTGTGAATCTGAGCTTTTTTGGACACTCTTTGAAAATGTGGGTAAGTGAAGGGTCGGAGATGAGCCGATCCTGGTTGAGGGGGGCCCTGAATCCAATGGCAGATGTCCTTGTAAGAGACAAAAGAGGAGACACAGACACAGAGGAGAAGCCGCGTGAAGGGGGAGGCAGAGACGGGAGGGACACGGCCACGAGCCCAGGGACGCCTGGAGCTCCAGAAGCTGGAAGAGGCAGGAAGGACCGTCCCCTGGAGCCTGCTGGATCTCAGCAGCCCTGCCCGTGCCTGGATCTCAACCTTCGGGTCTCCAGAACGGAAAAAAGATAAATTCCTATCCCAAGCCACCATGGTTTTAGACATCTGTCCTGCCAGCTTCTGATGCACAGAACAGACCCATTACCTCTGCACGTACATTACAGAGAAGTGGAATATGGAAAAAACAAAGAACAGAACAGAACGTACAAGAAAAGGAAATGAATGGGCACGTTGAGGGAGAGGAGGCAGGTGAGAAGGGGACGTGGAAAACGCTGCATAAAGGTGAACGTGTGGCCGTGGGCGACGCAGGCAGGAAATCGCGTTGTTTTCTGAAGTGACGTTCCAGATCCATGAACAGAGACTCAGCGTCGTGCAGACAAGCGCCGTGTCTCGGAGCGGCCGGTGATTAGGGTTTCATGACTCCAACTCCTCCGACCACCGTTGCTTCCAGAGTTGCGAGCTGCCCCGTACTGAGAACCCGGCCAGACCAGGATCGGGAGGAAAGGTCTACACGCACGCAGATTCTCAGCCGGTCCTCACCATCCGACTACGCCTATCAAGTTAACAGCTCCCGAGTCAACCTTCCCTCGTCTGCCAGATGCTTTGTGTAACCAGGGTTGGGAGAGTCGTCGTCGTCCGTTCTCGGGTGGCGGGCCCATCTGAGGACACCGGGCCGTATGATTTCATCGGGGAAACGCGCTCGTCCGACAGCAGGAGAAAATGTGTCATACGTACCTAACGACGTTTAAGGACGGCATGAAACAAAGTGTTCTCAGGAAGCAGGCGTTACAGGACCGCGTCACCGGGAAGCTATGTCAGCAGGAGTTTAACAAGCGGAAAAAGAAGATCATCGCTGCATGATGCCTTTTCCAGATCCGACCCAGCCACCTACACCTTCCAGTAGAATGGATCGTCCAGAAAGAGGCACCACATCGTGCCAACGTCACGTTCCCCGTCACCCTCTTAGAAAACCACACTGGGGGCGAGCCTGGGGGACATGGGTTCGAGGCAAGAGTCTGTCAAGAAGAAAGAACTTTTCTGCAGAGAACACAGAAAGGGCAGGTGCGACCCGTTCACCATCCTTTTCGCTGCTTTTCCTCAAAGACCTGGGGCTTGCGTAGAAAACGTAACACGTGCGTCCTGTAGAAAAAGGGGCAAAGACAACGAGCTGGGCTGTGCGAGGGGGTGAGGGGCCGAGTGTAGGGTAAGAGAGAGTCTGAGGGGCACTCGGTGAAGCCGGCTGGCCACGATTCTCAATACGGGGTCCCAGGGAACCCTAGGGTTCCTTAAGCGTCTTTGAGGAGTTTTGCGATGGCCTTTTTTTTCTGACGGCAGAGCTGAATGTGCATACATTTTTGTTTTTGTTTTCCCCATACAGCTCCAGCAACGGTGGCCTCGTTGGTGTGTGTGGGGGACAACTCCAGCTCCTGCCAGGGAAATGTCCCCTGGCCAACACAGGGAGCAGCTGCAGGGGGCAAGGAGGAAATTCAGAACAGGTCCAGGTGAGGGCGGAGTCTCGTACAACTGCAGGGACCAAGGAATGCCCAGGAGGGATCAGCCAGGCTTTCGGCACAGACAGTCATCACTGTCAAGAAATCCCTCCAGGGGCGCCTGGGGGCCTCAGTGGGTTCAGCGTCCCACTTTGGCTCAGGTCATGATCTCATCGTCCATGAGTTCAAGCCCCGCGTCGGGCTCTGTGCTGACAGCTCAGAGCCTGGAGCCTGCTTCAGATTCTATGTCTCCCCTCTCTCTCTGCCCCTCCCATGCTCATGCTCTGTCTCTCTCTGTCTCTCAAAACTAAATACGCAAAATAAATAAATGAATGAATAAATAAATAAATAAATATTAAAAAAAAAAAAAAGAAAAGTAAAAGAAATCCCTCCAGAAAACCCAGACTCACTCCAACTGGAGATGTGTAAAACAGAAATATGTTAATGTAAAAGCATAGGTACCTGCACTATTTTCTATTCTACTCCTAATATTATATTAGAAACATATTAGAAATCGATGATATTCCATTAAAAAGAGAAACGTTCTATTTTCTAATATTCTAATACAGTGTTTTCTAATATTTGAATGGATTATATATATCCTAATAGTATTTTAATCATCCCAATAATTATTTACGTAATTATCCTAATATATTCATTCGAATATGTCCTATTATAATCTAATTTTATTTTATTCTATTTAATTCCAATAATTTCCTTATAGTCTAACAATATGTTCCAAAACTGTACTTACTAACAATATTTCCCATTATTAAATTCTGTAAGTAGAATGTATCCTAATAGAACATACCTAGTAATACAAAGAAAACCTTGCTCGTAACCTCATCTATTAAAGCCCTGGACGCCAAGGTTCATTTATTGTTAAGCAATGGTGACCTCTAGCGGTCAGTAATATGAAGGAAGGGATATATGCTGCAGGCCATCTGAGGGGAATCTGATGAATTTGGACGTATAAATATTCACAACCGTTTTATCTTCTTAACGGATGAACCCTGTGTGTGATTCATATTAACCTTCTGGTCTGCCTGGCACTTCATGGGCTGGGTGTCTATTAAGAAATTTGTTTCTGTGTGATTTGCTCGAGACATCTGAGCGAAGAGTTAATGGAAAATACAGAAGACCAGATAGATGACAGATAGGTGATGGGGTAATGGATAGATGGATGGGTGGATGGATGGATGGAGAGATGGGAGAGATAGATGGATAGATAGATACATACACAGATGATAGGTAAACAGACAGATGAACAGAAAGATCAGATAGATACATAGACAGGTAGGAAGATAGATAGATAGATAGATAGATAGATAGATAGATAGATAGGCAGAAAGACAGATAGGTAGGCAGATAGACACGTTGATAGATGATACATAGATACAGAGATAGATAAATATAGATGGAGAGCTGGATAGATGGATGGATGGATGGATAGACAGACAGACAGTCAGGTAAGTATATAGAGACAAGTGGATTAGATACACAAACAGATAGGATAGATACACAGAATGCATAGACAGACTGGTAGAGAGGTGATCATAGACGACAGACACATGATAGCTAAAACATGATAAATATATAGATAAACAGTTGATAAATACTGAGATAATCAATAGACACACAAAGAAATTCAGGCTTTCACAGATTCCACGCTGGCCACACCCTCCGTGCAGAAATACACCCGTTTCCATCATTTTTTTCCAAGCCGAAGGGGAAGGTTTCCAGGCAAAAATCTCTGGTCTTGCCCTACAGGGATATCAGGTGTGGAATGGGGTCCAGGTTTGGCCGAGTGTCTGCTGATCTCCCCAGCAGGAAACAAGCAAGCTAAAGACAGAGGACAAAGGACACGGAGTGAGGTCCGCACATCCAGGAGCCCCCGGCCAGTCTCCTGGCACCTGACACACCGGATGCCCGTCATCCACACCATCAGAGAAGAGCTTTCCTCCATGGGACCAGGAGGAATCCCCACATCCACACTTGCTAAGCATGGGATGCTTGCTTTATGCTTCTGGTAAAAGAGCGTCACACCCGCGTCATGCCTAAGCCAGACTGGAGTTTTTCACCACGATGATGCCTTGACAACATGTGAAACACCTCTGGCATCCGGACGATGGGACAGGGTGACTTTGCAAACCTCACGCGAAGCGACCATGGGCACGCTCTCTGCTTACTGGCTCGCTGCTTCTTCATAACGTCCTGAACTCCATGCGGATTTATTTACTTTCATCCGAAACGTGCTCTAATTGCTTAGCTCTGTCCACTGCTCCAAAAGGGTCCAAGCGGAAGATTTGATATTATATTCATGGGAGGCAGGAACACCTAGACACAGTGTAGAGGTCCCAACGGCCGGTGCTTGTGGTGGGCACTTTTGCTCTTATGAAAGCGCACTTACCTGTGGGTCCCCATGGTCATGCTGGCACTGACTGGGAAGCTGGCACAGGCGTTTGCCAGCGGAAAGCAAGGTTCTAGAAGCAGGAAAGGGAGGTACCCCGTCAGCAAGTGGACTTCCTTTTTCTCCACGGGAGCCCTACTCACCCCGAGTGCATCTCAAATATCAGGATGCCAAGCGCCCACCAGTCCACAGCTCTCCCGTGGCCTTTGCTCTGGATGACTTCGGGGGCCAGGTACTCGGGCGTGCCACAAAGCGTCCACGTCCTGGGGACAGAGAACAGCACGCACAGAAGAGTTAGCTGTGCTTGGCGAACGCGTGCGTCTCAGGAGGACCACGCGTGACAATGGCTTCGGCCATCACAGCCATGTCCCTCCCCATCCCGCAGACACACCGCGCTGGACAGAGATACTGGCACTGTGGACCAGGATTCGTTCCCTTACCAACACTCATCTATCCCGATACAAGCAAAAATACACGCTTGGTAAGACCACCACCCGCCGTTGGCTGTCGCTTCACCATTATTACTCGAAACGCAAAAAAGCCACAGTACCGGTTTTACTAGGCAAGGATACAGAAAACAAATGCAAGAATTCGTTCATAACCTCCTGTCTTGGGGGTCCCACCAAGAGCCCCCAGCAACAAAGTACTTCTGTCCTCAGGGAGGAAATGCTGTGAACTTTCCACCTGCTCCCGAAAAGATCTGACGTGTTTTCAAGGTGTCTGTGGGTTCAAGGTCATTTTACTCTCCCCAGTGGCTTCTAGAAATCCTGAGGTTAAGGGACCCTGGGATATTTGGGGTTGAAATGGAGCAAGGGGTGGGCTTTGGGAAGGATTTTCTCCACAGAGGAGGTGAGACTTGCCAAAAATTTAGCTTCTAGCCCTGCGCAGAGGACCGTGGGCTGGAAGTGAGGGAACCGCAGAATGTCGTCATCCGAGGCCCCCCGGTCGCGGTGCTTTGTTACGGCAGCCGTGGGAAAGGCACGCACTCCCCACGCCGGCCACTCACATGCAGAACCTTCCTTCTGAAGCACCTGCGGGCTGGACCCGCACGTTCTACGGGACACGGTGTGTCGTCTAAGGGAACATAAGTCAACTGATGGCAGGGAACAGAAAACCTCTGAAAACCCAAGTTTGGAGGTCCAGAAGACGGTCATACTGACTCCCACGTGGTCTCACTGGATGGCTGACGACCCCTCGCCCACTAAGACTCTGATACGTGAGACCCTGAGCCCATCTCCAGAACACCTCTGCCCACCTTGCCAACTTACGGGCTCCCAAGGCTGCCTGAAGCCAGCTGGCAATCGGGCTCTGAGCTCCTAAATGCACAGGTGGCCGCATTATATATACATTAGGTACAGCGTCTCCACTTCCATTTGGAAAGGGGAGTATCTTTCTGGCTCTGTCCTAGCGTAAGGGGCACAGAGGGAATTTCTAAGTGGCCTGGGGTAGGCGGACACCTCTCTAGAGGAAGAGCCTCCGGCTAAAGCGTCTAGTGCTTCTTGGCTGCACAGAGAGGCATAAATTGCAACAGAGAGCTTCGGACCTCAGTAAGTAGGTAAAGACAGACAGACAGCCCTGGATGTTATGCAGAGACCGCCGGCGCAGGCTGTGAATTGTCTATGCACCTGGTCTCATGTCTCTCAGCTCACTCGGCTCTCGGAGAGAAGGCAAGGGGACACCCGAGGTTCTCAGTTTGCGCACGGCTATCACTTCCACTGCCGTGGGCGCGTTAACAGAAGAAAAACACAACTCTGCAAAGCGCACCTCGAATCGCTCGTCATGGCACCTGTACGGAGGTGAACGGTCTTCCCCCAAAAGTCCTAAACCCCAGAGCCCGTGGATGTGATCTTATTTGGAAATAGGATCTTGCTGATGGAATCAAGTTAAGACGAGGTCATATTGGATGAAGATAGACTAACTCGGTGACTGGTGTCCTTATAAGGAGGGGGACAGACAGAGACATCTCTTTCTACCATGTGAGGACACGGTGAGGAGGCAGCCATCAATCCTATCATACTAGGATCTCACTCTCCTGACCTCGTTTAACCTCAAGTACCTCCTAAAAGCAGTGTATCCAAATGCAGTCACTTCGGGGGGTTAAAGTTTCGATATATGAATTTTGGAGGGACGTAATTCAGTCCACAGTAATGGTGGTGATGGAGATGGCTGTGATGGTGAGGACATTGATGATGATGGTGATGATATTGATGATGATGGTGATGGTGATGATGACTGTCATAGTGATGATGGTCATGGTGGTGATGGTCATGGCAGTGATGGTCGTGGTGGTGATCTCGGCAATCATGGTGGTCATGATGGTCAAGGTGATGATGACAGTCATAGTGATGATGGTCATGGTGATGATGATGGTCACAGTGAGATGGTCATGGTGGTGATGGTCATGGCAGTGATGGTCGTGGTGGTGGTGATCTCGGCGATCATGGTGGTCATAGTGATGGTCAAGGTGATGATGATGGTCGTGGTGATGATGATGGTCAAGGTGATGATGACGGTCATAGTGATGATGGTCATGGTGGTGATCTCGGCGATCATGGTGGTCACATTGATGATGGTCAAGGTGATGATGATGGTCATGGTGATGATGATGGTCAAGGTGATGATGACGGTCATGATGATGATGACGGTCATGGTGATGATGGTCAAGGTGATGATGACGGTCATAGTGATGATGGTCAAGGTGATGATGATGGTCACAGTCATGATGGTCAAGGTGGTGATGACGGTCACAGTGATGATGGTCAAGGTGATGATGACGGTCACAGTAATGATGGTCATGGTGATGATGATGGTCAAGGTGATGATGGTCAGGATGGTGATGGTGATGGTGGTGATCTCGGCGATCATGGTGGTCATGGTGGTCAAGGTGATGATGACAGTCATAGTGATGATGGTCAGAGTGGTGATGGGGACAACGGTGATCTTGGTAATCATGATGGTCAAGGTGATGATGATGGTGGTCATAGTGATGATGGTCATGGTGGTGATGGTGATGGTGGTGATCTTGGTGATCATGGTGGTCATGATGGTCAAGGTGATGATGATAATGGTGGTGATGGTGATGAAGGTGATGACAATGGATGGTCATAGTGATAATGATGGTGATACTGATGGCAGGGATGATAAAGTCAGAAGCAACATATGTATGCTCAGTGCTTACTATGTGCCTGGAACTGTCCTAAGTATGTACTTTCCAATTAGCAGATCCATCCATTCATTCTTAGCAACAATCCTAAGGAGCAGGAATAATTTTCACTTCACCGATGAGCAAAGCAATGGATGGCAAATATCCTCAGGGCATTGGGGTGCCTGGGAGGTTCAGTGAGTTGAGGGTGGGACTTCGGCTCAGGTCATGATCTCACAGCTCATGGGTTCAAGCCCTGCATCGGGCTCTGTGCTGACAGCTCGGAGCCTGAAGCCTGCTTCAGATTCTGTGTCTCCCTCTCCCTCTGCCCCTCACCTGCTCTCTATCTCTCTCTCTCAAAAATAAACAAACATCAAAAAAAATGTGATAAAGTACTGATGTTATTTTTTTAAATCACTCTCCATTAGAGATAGCATGGTGAGTAATTACTTTAAAATAATGTAACAAACAGTGGCGCCTGGGTGGCTCAGTCAGTTGAGCGTCTGACTCTTGGTTTTGGCTCAGATCAGGATCTCACAGTTCATGAGATCAAGCCCCAAGTCAAGCTCTGTGCTGACAGAGCAGAGCCTGCTTGGGATTCTCTCTCTCCTTCTCTCTACTCCTCCCCCACTTGCTCTGTCTGTCTCAAAATAAATAAACTTAAAAAAAAGTTTGAAAAAATAAAAAGTAAATAATGTAAGAAACAAAAATGTGGGAGAGGTAGAAACTCAAATCAGGTTGAGCACTGGGTGCTGTATGGAAACCAATTTGACAATAAATTTCATAATAAAAAAAATGAATAAATAAAGCCCCCCCCCC